ATCCCGGCCCCCTTCTACAGCTGCCTCCAGCACCAAGGCGGCTGGTTCTGTTGCTGGCTCAATCCCGGTGGGTCTTGGATCGGACAGGGCTCCTAGCAACACCAATACTGGCCGATCGTCCGCAGTGATTGGCGTGACCATGGTCAGTACTTCGGCGTCTTGTCTTTTGATCAAAACTCCGTTGGCGCCTCTCCATGCACACAGCCACAGGCAGCTGTAGCCGGCTCTACTAGTCGGGACCAAGGGCTGACTTGCTTTCATTCTCTGGGTACCCGTTTGGCTAATAGCAAACGTAAGTATCCACATGTGGAGCAAACGCACTCTTTCTGCGGTAGAGCTCCTCCGAGCGAGATCCACACGACTTTGTTTACGTTTCGAGTCCAAACGCATACCTGCAAAGCTATATCGGACTCTCTCAACTACGTACAGTGCGCTCAGCATGGATTCGTACTGACAGATTGCTCTTTCCGATTCCAGCGACCAACAGACCGCCACTGGTACTGGCACTGGCGCTGGCCCTGGCACAGACACTGGAGGCGCCACAAGCAAGGACAAGGGCAAGGGCCAGGGCAACTGGATTTGAGGCCGTGTCCCGCGTGGAATCATCGTGCAGATGACGGTGGCTTCCGGGCTCAGTCCGGCAGCGAGTTTTGAGATCGTTTTTCGTTTTCGTATTGTGTATTGAATCGTAGTTGAGTGACCAAGCCGGATGGTACAGAGAGCATAGAGTAGACGCGTGTCAACGCCCAAGTTGGGTAGTATGTGGCATGCAGACAGCATTAAACTTGCGTGTAAGGCTCCGTTCGCCCACATTTCAAGGATTCAGGATGGACTTTACGACAGAGAACATGTTAACGTGACTGACCTGATCATATATATGGTTACATAGATGGTACAAGCAAGTGTATGTCTATCGATGTCTTAGGGCAGATCAAATCGAAAGAGCGGAGTCCTGCTCCGCTCCTTTTAGCATCGAGCGTGTGTCTCTCCTTCTGTTACAATATCAAACCATTTCTTCCCGACTCTCGTTGCAGGGCAGTGTGTGTATGTCCCTTAGAAACCGGGTCCACCAGGTTTAAAACCAAGATCGTATATGTTCTTCTCGAAATCTCGGAGATGCTCATCGTCTCTCCAATGGACGACCTCGATAGGACTCGAACTCCAATCAGGATAGATCGTGCCGACGTGATCGCCGTTCGAATCTTTCAGGCCCTCTGCTTCTGCTTCTTCTTTTCCTTCTTTCACCCCTTCTTTCAACTCGTTGGACGATGACGAGTCAGATTTCAGAGCCGACGCCGCCAAAGCAGCTTGTTCTTCCAAAAGGGCCTTTCGGGCGACATCTTCCTCTTTTCTCTCTTCCGGTCTAGGATCTATGTAGTCGAGATCGATACTGATGATTCGGTGACATAACATCAGCGCCGCCGCTCCCAGCCTGATGCAAGTCCTGATCAACTCACCACAACGCCGAGATCCACCCGCCGTGATACCTGACTTTGATGCCTCTTTCTCTTGCAGCCCGACGCATGATCATCTCTTTGGCCTCAGCTCGTGCACGACCGTTCTCATCGGCATCAGCAAGCATGTCGCAGTCGGTCTCTCCCAATCCAGGCTTATCGTCGTCGGAAGGCTTGTATTCCGGCTCACCGAGCCTTGCAGTAGCGGGAGTAGCGGGCCAAGTGTTGAATAGGGGCATCTGTTTGGTTCGTCCCCATGAGAAACCTCGACCAACGCCGGATGGGATCTGTTTCAATAGGTTGTAGTGGACAAACAAGGGCTCTCCCCATGAATCGTGCTGAAGCATCGTGTGCGCGCAGAAGTCGCCAGAAGCAGTGCCGGATGGCAGAGCTGCAGCGCCAACCCACCGGCCGGGTACCGCCCATCGTTTCCGCAGTGCAAGCAATGCCCAGCGGAATATGTCCTTGTCGCCGTCCGAGAAGTAGAACCACTGCACGACGTACGCGCAGAGTAAATTTGAAGGACGATCAGCTCTTGCATACAGCAAACCAAGACCGAAAGAGAGGTGGTCATTGTCCTTCCACTCACGAATTCGTGTCGTTCCAGCATGTATCGGATGAGCAGGAATACGTCGAGGTGCATCTTCTTGTCCACAAACATCTGACCCGTCTCCATCTCCCACTCGTTTCGGCACTTGACACCCATGATCGCCCAGATGGGGTTATTGGCCGATGTCTTCCAGTAGTCAGGCGTGGCGAAGATGCCTAGTCTCTCGTAATTCGGGGCATCGAACATGTATTCTGGGTCTCGCGTGGGTATCGAGTCGGAGTCCTGACGAGGGTGAGGCAAGATAGAACATGTCAGTTCCAGGCCCTCTCCAATGATGTCCTGGTCGTATTCGCGTTCCTCCCCAGTGCAGGACGACTCACAAGGTATAGGACCTCTCTGAAAGGACTTTGCACCACAGCTATCGCCTTGAGATGATAGCTCTTTGTCTTGCCTTTATCCTTCTCCTGACCTGCAGCTTCGACGAGCTCAGCTCCAAGTTCTTGCAGCTCGGCTCGAAGAGGGGAATCATCCGCTGGCCTTTCACTGGGGAAGTGGTACTGATCAATTTGACTGTCAGCTCAGACCAACACGTACTCTTGGTTGAATCATGTGAGATGTGACACTCACAATCTGGACAGGCAAGGTAGAGTTGTAGCTTCTCAACATCTGCAAGCTCCATTTCACCCTGGTGAGAGTATCCGCATTTCCAGCAACCATGACGATACCTCTTCCTTCTCCATACTGATCCGTCAATTTCTCGGCGAGTACATGCTCCATATGGTTGATCAATTCCATTCGGTGTTGATGCAAGGTTGTACGGTTCACACTGGCCCAAATGTTGGCGGAGTGTTGAATCATGTGTGTGTTGTGCTGTTCTGAGATCGTGTCGCATTGCTAAATCGCCCATCGTGAGCTTCATCCCGAGGGAAACACTCCGAAGAAGGCAGGTAGCGCGATCATCGAATATGAACATCTCACGACATACCTCTAAGTTCCATTGCACAAAACCGCCATGTTCGATCTCCCCCTTGATCTCACCACGACCACCAGGAGCGTTCTTCCACACGTCTAGTCGTTCTCGAAGTGTCGCCTCCACGGGCAATGCGTCTGAGGCGAGATCGATCTCCCTCTGTCCTGCAGAGCTGGAGCCAGATACAGGACGTCGTATGCCGCTCCCTGAACTGGAAGGTAGCAGTGAGGGAAATTTAAATGGCCTGCCGGATACCTTGGGTTGTCTCGCGATCGAGGCAGCGGCAGCACTTCCCGTAGAAGACGCTCGCGGGGCGACAAGCTACATTTTGTCCCCTGAATCAGCTTGGGTATGAGGAGGAGGCAAGTGAATCAAGGCGACTTACTCTTGCACCGCTCTGGTGTAGAGTTAGAACCGCCAATCCTAGCACCAACGTCAGAACTGCCACTCTCTTCACCATGCCGCCGGGCAGCCCATTTCTCCAGGCCATCCTCATTCTCTTCAACCTCGAAGTATGGCTTGACGGAAAAGGATAGCTTCCTCTTCCTTTCTCCAACATGGCGGGGCTCGGAGGCAGTAACGGCGTTTGCGAGTCTACTTGGCCGTCTTCCTTGGACGAGGTCGATGTCGATGGCAGAGGCGAGAGCTGTGAAGAGTGAGCGTCGGGGTCGTATGGCGAGCTGAAGAATGGAGAGGTCTTTTCGGATATGGGGATATGCAGTTTTGGTTTGGGCGTCGGAGGTGGCATATCGGCGAGCGTTGGTTTAGAGTGCGTTGAGGTGTTTGTAGAGTTGACACTTCACGGATCAATGGGGTTATCCAGAAAATTGTTGATCTTGAAGGTTTATAAAAACCACTTCGCTGCCTGCGAATTATGCGATCGCGTTCGCGCGCTGAGCTGCTCGCGCAGTATTGCCAACACTCGAGAGCAGGTCGAGAAAAGACCGTATTGATGCCGCCGCAATATCCTGTGCATGGTGTCAGCCTGATTGGACCAACCAACATCTTCAAGCTCTAGTCGCCAGTCGGTCCTGCATGCCACGCCGGGTATAGCAATTACAAGGCAGGCTGTGATCACCCCGCGGCAGGACGAAACGACTTCGCAGTAATTTCTATCTTGCTCTCCCCGGCGGTCTCCATGACGATCAGCGTGACATGTCTATCACAGCTGGACGACGCATGTACCTTTCCTCCAGCCATGCTCTTCGACATCTCGCAGCAACAGCTCAAGCTCAAGCTGAAACATCAAAGGAGGTTCCAAAGGACTCACCGAAGGCTGCTGCGTCGTTCGTAACTGCCTTTGCCGCACACAGGGAATCAGGGTACACTTTATTTCTATCTGTCCTTTATTCGCAGATCGTCGTGATGGTCGATCAGTCCGTCTCTTTTACCTTGAGAATGCTGAAAGATAGGAAGATACACAGCCAAGGATGTGATAATCGTTGCATACATTCAACACGCACATTATTGCATTCTCTCACTTCGATCTGTTTGTGCATTGTCCGTACGTAGGCCGTACTATCACAAACGAGTGACCGCAGTCGTGCTTATCGCAGCAGTGCTTGTATCCGTCTAAGCTTAGCCAAAGTTGCATATTCCAAAGATAGCAACAGGAGCAGCAGCAGCAGTGGTATAAAAAACCCAAAACTTGGGAATCGCAGTCCACAGTCAGTGACACTTCAGGAAAAAAAGATGACGATGACGCTGATCGCAGTCATGGATAAAACCCTGAAACCGCAATTACTGTCCAGTACGTTCGTAGTCCGGGCCAGACTCCGAGGAGTCTCGAAGCGTGCCTGTACACACAACACACACACACAAACTCCCTCTCTGTTAATCGAAGGTACATCGTGCGACATTCTTCAACGCAGCCTGATATGCATCTCTCGCGATAGCGACCATCCTGCACAATGTCGATCGCTTGACCGGTACTTATGCAGATAACCCATCGGCACCAGGTATGCGGAAATCAGCACAGAGAAAGCAGGCTAGAGAACCTGAAACTTCCCAAAAGAAGTAAAAACGTTGATCCAAGACGGGATCGAACCGCCGACCTGTTGTGATCAGAAGCGGCGTGCGCCGAAGGTGAAACAATCGCTCGTACCGCTGAGCTATTGGACCTGGGGATAATTTCCCTTCTCTGCATTTGCGCTCGATCACTCGTATATATAGTAACGATGCGTGACCGATCAGAAATGCATGTTCATGCGTCTGCAAAGTGAATCGGACGGTGAACAGCCATAGCTCAGCGGTACGAGCGATTGTTGCATTCAGAAGAGCTGTGCAGGAAGGGGTACAGGAGGAGTCGAGGAGTCCGCTCCGAGTCGAAAGTAGTATTCCCCAGGAAGGTCCTATCGCTGCCACCTCTGGGCTACAACACCTTGACTCGCTACATGAGACCACTACATTATGTACGAGTACGGAATATATGTAGCACTGTCTGACCAGTAGCTGAAGCGACAGCAGAGTGCACCTTGTTCTGTCAAGAGTCATGTATCCATAAGCGATAGCGGCCACCAGGTGTACAGGTTTAGGTGTAGGAACGCGACGAGATCGGCGGTTCTACCTTCACGTGGTTTCGGTGGGGCACACAGCGCGCTCTAAGCGGTGACGTCTGGTATTCAGAGCTTGAGACGGTCTCGCGCCTCGTTGATTCAAGTTGCTTCGTTTGTCCACTTTGACTTACCTCAACACGATATCGTTTATCACCTCTGACCATTCGCTATACACGCATACCTATACACATTACGATAACGATAACGAAGTCTGAGTGATCACCATGGGAGCCGCGGAATCATCAATGTTCAACTCGCTGGAGAAGAACTCCAACTGTACGTCCAAGCGCCGCTTCGCGCTTCGTGAACCAATTCAATGACTCTGTTATGGGCTACAAGGTCTTCATTTGCAAGGCAGCTCAAAATCCCAATTCACCACTAGTGAAGCTAATATGTGCATTGCACCTCTCTCGTTCTCTCTGTTTCTCATTTCAGTCTCTGCGCCCGAGTTGATGCGGCTCAAGAAACGATTTATGAAGCTCGACAAGGACGGATCAGGTTCCATCGACAAGGACGAATTCCTACAAATCCCTCAGATCGCCAATAACCCGCTCGCGCACCGAATGATCGCCATCTTCGATGAAGAGTGAGCTTGTTTTGCTCATCCATCCATCCAGAATACTGAGGTCGGGGTATGTGCTGACGCGCGCAATAATTGCTATGGGTATGGGCTTTTGATTTGAACCACAGTGGAAGCGGAACGGTCGATTTCCAGGAGTTCGTAGGGGGACTGAGCGCTTTTAGCAGTAAAGGTGGACGAGACGAGAAGCTGCGGTGTGAGTCATTCTCAATGATCCATTCTCGTCACACTTCTGTGGTCTGAGGCTTGGAAATGACGCTGATAAGTTATACTGGTTGAATCAAATAATTGCATCAAACGGAATTCACCTTCACCTCGTAATGACATGGACGCCCGATCAATTGTCCCGATCTCTTCCTCTACCCGTTCATGATGCTCGTACTGCCGGGTCATCTGTCAATCTGAATGCAGTCGCTTTCAAAGTCTACGACATGGACCGAGACGGCTACATCTCGAACGGAGAACTATATCTCGTCCTCAAGCAGATGGTGGGGAACAACCTCAAGGTGAGTTACTATCGCTCGCGATCTGCTACAAATGGAGGGTTAACGGTATTTGCGCTCCGTAGGATCAACAATTACAGCAGATCGTAGATAAGACCATCATGGAGGCAGACAAGGACGGGTGAGTGGCGTGGTTCGGCTTGGCTCACTTGCGCGCTTTGTACCAGCACACTTGCATTAAAAAAGGATAACACTTTCTAACGTTTACATGGCATCGCTTGCGGTTCAAACACACGCACACAGAGACGGGAAGCTATCGTTCGAGGAATTCACTAACATGGTCGCGAGCACCGATATCGTCAAGTGAGTGGGAAGATGACTACAGAAACGCATACCTCCTTTGTTCTGTGGGATTATCCTTGCTGACAAACGTGTTTCATGGGTTGGTATGTGATTGCAATAGGCAAATGACCCTCGAAGACCTCTTCTAGATAGAGAGCAACACCCGAGTACTTCCCGACCATATTCACCATCTTCACTTTTTCGTAACGATCCGATTCGCTTCAACGATTCTTTACGGCGTTGTTGAGATGCCTATAACACCCATTATACCCCTTTTACGTTCCTGATAATGTATCAGACGAGAAGAGATGAGAAGAGATGAGAAGAGCAGAGGTAGAAGGTTGAATGTCGATTCCCATAGCCCCGTGTATAGTTCCAAGATGCATTTCATGATACCCAGACTGGGTTAAGAAGTGCGCAGCATGAGCATCTTACGTTAATTATAGGTGTCAGCTTATTCCTGACGAGCTGGGCGCTACGATCCTTCCTTCAGCCTACACTCGCGACGGTCCGTATCCTTGTTCACAATCAACTTCCCGCTGTTCATAGAATGCTGAGTACTAACGATCTCCCGACGTGGACTTGTATTTTCTTCCATTTTGTGGTGTTTCAACGCTTTGCGGTAGAAACGCTGATTGCGCGGTCAATCCGAGCCAACAACCAACATTCGCATTTGGCAGGAAATGTGATACAACTCAAACTGCATACAGCGTCTAGTAAAAGAGAGGCCGAGACCCGCCCGATTAATGCATGCCCATGTAAAACATGGGCTGATACGGTCTCCCTGTGCCTGCCGCACCAGCCCCAGCCGCGGCGGCGCTACGTCTTGCCGCTTCCGCCTCCTCGGGCGTGAGCGAGTCGAACTCCTTCAACATCTCCTTGAGCTTTCCCATGCCTGCTCCGGCGACGCCAGACATCGACATCGTGCTCAGTCTCGAACCTTTGAAGCGGCCCGTGCCTATTGAGCTGGACCTGTTCAGCATCGACGATGAGATGGACGAGATGGAAGGTGATGAAGCGCTATCGGCAGAAGAAGAAGTGGGCAGAGCACCGCCGTCGTCCAGCTGGAGCGAGCGTGAGAACTGCGAGTAATCGGAGCGCTGGGCCAGATAAGGCCGGAGCAGCCTGGCGTCGATTCGGCCGAGATGCGATTCCGTCATGTATGATTTCAGGACGTTTGGCTGGACGATGAACGAATTGCCAAGCTGACGGAGCATGTCGAAGCGGTCGTTGACCGCAGGGATGCCGTATGATGACATTGTTTCCTGGTACGATGCGAGATCCCTGGGAAAGATTTGGAGCGGCCGTCAGCCGAAGGGCGGAGCTCGCTGACTACAAAACGGGACAAGAATCAATACCCACTTGGTCAACATCAATCCGCCAGTCGGGTTCACGGGGAACTTCTTGTAATGGTCGAGCAAAAGACTGACACAAGCGACAGATATCATCGTCAGCTGTGTAGCTTTCCCCAAATTCCGGATGCCTAGCTCCTCTCCTCACCTGTGGAAAGCGACTCCGACCTCAGTCAAAAATCCCTCGGCATTCTTCCCGCTCAACCCCTCATTCGCGGCATCTCTGACCGTCGTCAAGAACTCGCAGCAAAGCTCGCATGGTTCAGTGGTTGTCCGAGCAAAGGAGAGCTCGTCGTTCTTGGGCTTGTAGTCATTCTTCTTCTGCTTGGTAAGCAGGAAAATCAGCCAATTGACGATTCCTGGGAGGAAATGCAATGTCAAGGTGTCAGTGTGTGATCCAGCTAGTCGTTGGGGATGGGAAATACTGCTATCCAGAACCTGAATGGTAATGATGGCGGCACATGTTGAGTTGACCCGGCCGTGACTCACCATCCAACGCTTTTTGGATCACCGCATTGATCTTCCCTTCCATCCTCACGACGTTATGCGAGTTGACAGTCCCCATCTCACGCCTGATAGCAACAGTGTTTCCGGCCAGCGGTAACAGTGCGGTCGATGTATATCGTTGCCACAGATGACATATCTGGTCTGCCGGCTTGAGCACTGCCAAGGGCTGTAGGTCTGGCTCGGCTCGAGTTTCGTGATTTTCCAGTTTTGATAGAGAACTGCTCCGAATATCAGTTAGTTGTCTTCGCTATAGCTAAGCTGATCATAGTTGTCATATGTGATGACCACGCCAGGCATGGGTGAGAAGAGGTACTCACGAATCCAGGGCAGTCTCGATGAAGCTCCTGCCTATAGCTTCCGACAGTACCTTTGACAGAGCCAAAGCGTTCTTCGCCATATCCACAGGAGGGCTCAGCTCAACCGCCCGACCAACGGCTTCAGCATGCCACCTCAGCATCCTCTCGGCCATCTCGACCGTCAACACTCCGTCCGTGGCCCACACCTTGTCCTCCAAACCCTTCTTCACCAAATCGCCTTGCAGCGTATTTTGACGCTGTATACCAGGTCGAGCGCCACCAGAAGGAGTCAGTGTACCGCCCGTATCGGCACCTGTGGTCCGAGCGCCGCCGTTTGGATTCACAGCCAGGTGCGCGGCGTGAGGTCCAAAAGGCTTTGAAGCGACGATAGGAGATGAGGCCTTGTTATGTCCTGCTGAGGATGTGAAAAGGTTGGCGTATTTGGAGATGGCTGCTGCTGCGGTCTGAGCAGTCGAGGAAGACGTCGCAGCACTGCTTGAGGTGGCAAGCTGGTTGACGACTTTATCGAGAAGCGAGTTGGGTTTGGCTTTCAGCACGGTTTCCTGCATGATGAGAGCATCATGGTCAGTGGACTTCATTTCGGACGATAGCCTAATAGCCGGAGTGCATAGGAACAGCCATGAAAGGTATACAAGCTTAGAAAGGGGTACCATAGGATCAAGTAGACTCACGTGATATCGGGTGAACCGACTGAGAAGTCCCGCATACAGCTCCACCAAATTCTTACTCTCACTCTCGAGGTACCTTGTACCCTCAAGCCACGGCACGAACATCTCTTCGAGCGAATGATCGAGCATCATAGCTAGTGGGCCTCCAGCGGCCGTAGGCCCTTTGCTAGGACCACCAAGCGTCAAATCGTACGATTTCAGGTCGTCAACCAAGGTGGAGCAAATCGAGTGCGTGAGGTGGAGGATACGCAAAACGGCGAGGGTCGAGATGGTCGCTGCGCGTGATAAGAGAGATTCGAGGTGTTGTTGGATCTGTGCAGGTAGAAGGCATTCGATTATTGTTTAGCTACATCCCAT